TGGTTACAACAGGCATAGGCATACGGATTCCCTGCCCTCCATCTCTATATCCGACAGCGACCAACGCAACTTAGCTGCTTCCAAAACAACCCATCCAATCAACAACCGCCGACATTGTAGAAAAAAGCAAGTGTGAAATCCAGATCAAAGGTGTTGATAGTGGAGGGTAGAACCAATGACGTGGCGGTGCTGATGATCATGGTGATCGGAAGGATTGACTTCAGCTTGTAATATCAGGAGGCAGTGGAGCTGGAAAAGGGAGGACACATAGAGGCAATGGAAGCGTGAAGAAGAATGGTCTGAGGCCCTGGAATCCGATGGGGTAAGATTGATAAGATGAGTGTGGATGTGGTCAGGGTCGAAGTAGACCTGAACAAAATTAGGGCTCGCCGACCTCTGTAGTGGTGGAGGCAGACTCATCGGAGTGTTCTGTGGCAGAGCCGGAGTCGGCGGCGTTGGCTATGTCGGAGTGATATAAGCGAACTCAGTGATCGATCGACTGCACTCTTCGGTAGTATAATCGGCAACTCCGAACTCCTATGAGTTCGATTTGTGTGTGGAAGAAACCCAATAATGGAAAATGATGGAAGCTGCTGGAAGAGATATACCACAGATTAAAAAAACACAGTAAAATAAACATGAAATACAGTGAAACAACAGCACCAATGAACAACACGTGTACACAGAAAGCTAGTAATTCCATGAAACACCAGTAAAAGAAAAGTAATCTCAAAGTGCGTTATAGGTTGTAAGCAAGGGACCATTTCTGTCAAAACTTGATCAGTTCACTATTCATCTTGATGCACAACTTTAATATATATATATATATATATATATATATATATATATATATATATATATATATATATATATATATATATATATATATCTTTATCTTTACTACTTATAAAAGAAATCTAACTATTTCTATAAATAGATTGAATATAATAATATTATTTTTTTAAGACGTACAGCTAATATTACAAACAACCATTAATAAAATAATATTAAATTTTAAATTTGTTTTGATTCCTTATATTTCTCAGCAAAATCCTAATTTCATGGTCATTCAAAATTTAAAACCTTTTCATCCTAATACGCTTCAACAAATATCCTTTAAATGTTGCATTTGCAGCTGATTAAAATATCTCATAGCAGACGTGTGTTTGTTCTCTCCACCTTATAAACCCTGCTATAAATCCCACTGCCATGAAGTATTTCCCTTATAAACCCTAATCGTTTTTCTCCCTCTCTTAGACGAAGACAATGTGTTTTTTTTAAGAAAAAAAGTTTGAAAATATTCCAATTTCTCAAAAAAATTTACCCCAAATGCGAAACTGGGTAAAATTTTCCATTTTGCGAAGACTACAGGGATGCGAAATGAAAATTCTGCACTTTTGTCTTTTTATGACCCCATTTTGCGAAGTTGGACCACTTATATTATTTCTTGAAAAGATCAGGTGCCAAATGCGAAACTCTAAGCTTTCTTCCCCAATTCGCATTTATACATTAAAAACTTCGCATTTTCATTCAAATTCTTCGCATCTTGCATCCATCCGTCTTTGAGTTCATTCGCATTTCATCGCATTAACTGAGAAATTAATCAGTTGTCTCATATTCGCATTTCAGTTGTTTGAGAAACCCAGATACGAACCCAAATGCGAAACCCACTGATTTCAAATGCGAACCAACCAAAAATCATCAACCACGTACTTGTGTCACCAAATGCGAACTGAATATCACCATTAAATTCTCCTCGCATTCCATAGATGCGAACACAATCCAGATCTCCGACTCCAAGCTTGCGAAATCAAAATCAATTAACCTCAAACAAATCGTGAACTTCTTATGCGAACTGTTTTGACCCACAAAACCAAATGCGAACTCAATTGATGTCATATGCGAACTGATTTCATAGATGCGAACACAATTGATTTCATATGCGAATCCACATCCATCGATATGAAACCAATACCAGTTACAAGCAATTAGTAGCAACAACCATCGATCCTCTAATTTTCAATTACTCAGCCTTCGCTTTTCATACAACCCGTCGACCCTGAAAAATCGATAAACACCAAATGTCTCATTTTTAGATCGATTTTCTGATTAAATGTCATATTTGAAGAATGATCGATTTTCTGATTAAATGACCCCATTTTGCGAAGTTGGACCACTTATATTATTTCTTGAAAAGATCAGGTGCCAAATGCGAAACTCTAAGCTTTCTTCCCCAATTCGCATTTATACATTAAAAACTTCGCATTTTCATTCAAATTCTTCGCATCTTGCATCCATCCGTCTTTGAGTTCATTCGCATTTCATCGCATTAACTGAGAAATTAATCAATTGTCTCATATTCGCATTTCAGTTGTTTGAGAAACCCAGATACGAAGCCAAATGCGAAACCCACTAATTTCAAATGCGAACCAACCAAAAATCATCAACCACGTACTTGTGTCACCAAATGCGAACTGAATATCACCATTAAATTCTCCTCGCATTCTATAGATGCGAACACAATCCAGATCTCCGACTCCAAGCTTGCGAAATCAAAATCAATTAACCTCAAACAAATCGTGAACTTCTTATGCGAACTGTTTTGACCCACAAAACCAAATGCGAACTCAATTGATGTCATGTGCGAACTGATTTCATAGATGCGAACACAATTGATTTCATATGCGAATCCACATCCATCGATATGAAACCAATACCAGTTACAAGCAATTAGTAGCAACCATCGATCCTCTAATGAGGAAACAGTTTCCTATTCGATTGTGCTTTGCAATGACAATCAATAAAGCTCAGGGACAAACAATTCCATATGTAGGTATCTATCTTCCAGAACCAGTATTCTCGCATGGACAACTTTATGTTGCATTGTCCAGAGGGGTTTCACGTTGCAATACAAAAGTATTAGTAAAGCCTAACGAAAATTCAAAAGGTGATGGGGTTTATACAGCAAATGTGGTGTATAAAGAAGTATTGCACGATTAATATTTTGTGTCGTCTTGACTGGTTGCTTTTTATTGGTTATTTGATGCATGATGTAACAAATAACACCATAGTTTGATTATATTGTCTTCAACATGTACTTTTTTTTAACATAACAATTTTGTAATGGAAACATATCACCGAAAGAACTCACGTGCCCCGCCGCTTTGCGCGGGTAGACGGCTAGTATATATATATATATATATATATATATATATATAGGGAAAAGGTGAATATATCCTTAAGGCTATATAAGTTTAGGTACCCAAAATCACCATAATACGTCATTTTGTTTGATATATTTATTATAATGTTCTTCAACTTTAATCCTTAACTTGATTTACTTTCAAGATTTTCAAATTTTCATTATTATCTTCCTCTTACATCACATCTTTTTGACGAACATCAATTAACCTATATATATTGTAGTTGAAAATGAAAATTATGAAAGAGGAAAATAAATGTAAAATTTATAAAAATCTTTGAATGAAATCAAGTTAAAAGTTGAATTATAAGAACATTAGACAATTACAATGTATATATGATACAAAATAACGTAGTATTGTGAGTTTGGGTACTTAAACTTATATACTTTAAAGGTATATTCACTTTTCCATATATATATATATATATATATATATATATATATATATATATATATATATATCCACACTCACTGCTTTGCTTCTCCATATTTCTTTTTCGTTTATAGAGGTCATTTCCTTCACATGTACTTGAGATACATGATGAAGCCTCTTACTTTGATCAAACTGTCATACTTTTCAACGTCACTCATTACTTTCTTGTTCACTATTCTTTGTTTCGGTGATAATGGTAGAGCACGGGTGACATTGCCGGAAAATGCTACTATACCTGCAGTTATAGTGTTTGGGGACTCAATTATAGATCAAGGAAATAACAATAACTTAAACACTTTGACTAAAGCCAATTTTTCTCCTTACGGAAAGGATTTTGTCGCCGGAAAATCAACCGGAAGATTTTCTAATAATAGGACACCGGCCGATATGTTTGGTAAAGCCTTGTTTTTTTTTTATGACTCAATATTATTTTGATGCATTTCTCTATTGAATATACTTGTTGTAGTTTTGGTGAAACCTTGTTTTTGTGACAAACCCAACTTTTTCGCCATGTCAGTCTATATAGACTCCAACTTCTGCTTTTGTTTTTTTGAATATCATGTTTGTAAATTTTAGAAACTGATAACTGCTTTAGACGTGATATCAAGTTTTTCATGTCGCACATAAACGAACATATATCTTTATATCACCTACACATTAATGAGTATCCCAGTTAATTTTTTGCGAAAGGAATCTTTAAATCCTATGTTTACGTATTCGTGAATTAGTTTAGAAGATGATTTATATTGATTAATTATACTTCGATCTTTATATTTCATGTAGCTTTTTTGACATAGTTCAGTGGTTTAAGTGAACAAAATCTCTTTCGTGCATCATCGAACATAGTTTAGGTATTACGATCAATAAATTGATCATTAGAAAAAAAAATACATATTACAAGTATGAATTTCAAAACTAAATCATAAAGTTAACGCGTTGAAGTTGTGACTTCTAACACATTGTGGCTCTTTAATTTTGATTCCGACCAAACTATCTGGAATAATCCATAATAAATGTTCATGAGGAATAGATAATTATAGATTCATAGATTACAAATTTAATCCATTTTGTGTAGTTACATGTGAAGGGAGTCAATTCTCTCACTCCTTCAACCCATTTGTTATAACATTTTTACCAAAAGGACCTTTAAACTATAATAATGATAGATCATGAGTTCGTGTCTTTTAGCTGATATAGATGGTATTTAGAAATAGTTTATGTAGTTTGCCGTTTTAAAAATAAACATCATTTTGTGATTTATCACACTTTTACCTTCCCATACCACAATAAATAAAAACTCTTCATTTTTATTTTTTTCTAATACACTCAACTTTTTATTTTAAAATAAATACAAACTATATAAAATCATTTATCAGCCTCCATATCAGTGAGTGAAACCTAAAAGTCAACTCAAAAGTCAACTCAATAAAAATTGCCCGGAAAGATGACTTTTGAGTTGACTTTTGAGTTGACTTGAGAAATTGCCCACAATTGATCATACCCTAAAAGTCAACTCAAAGATGACTTTTGAGTTGACTTGAGAAATTGCCCGATGAAATTGCCCGGATAGCATATAGTTTGAATTGGATTGTTTAAAGCACCTAAAGATGACTTTTGAGTTGACTTTTAGGGTATATAAACTAGTAGGTCTATAAACCTAACTGGTATATATATATATATATATATATATATATATATATATATATATATATATATATATATATATAAATGTATTTATATATAAATATGTAAATGTACTTATATAAATGTACTTACGTATTACACACATTATGCAAAATATATTAAAACAACATTTAAAAGTTACACCCACGTCACCTTTCACACATAAAGAAGCATGTTTGTTGACCAACGTTTAATACATATATAGAGAAACTTTTATAGGATAAACATTTCTTAATCTCTATACGAACTCAAAAAAAATCGTTAATATATTTTGGTAGTAATTGATTTACGAGGATGTTGTATCCTTTGTCTGTAGGATGAAAACTGTCCCAGAAAAAGTATTTTGAATCGTCATGACATGTTGGGATCAAGTGGTTACATAAAATGGAAACCTCTATGTATCCTGTGCCACAACAACCTCTATCGACAACTTGTAGTCCTGATGCAAGAGAATATGAACTTATTAGACTACAAAAATAAATACAAATGTAACAAGTATGAGTACATGTATCAATGTTAAGAGAACCAAGTACCATATTGGAGTGGATTTTTAATAATAGAAAGAATGGAGTTATATATGTCGAAATAAACAATCCTGGATTGCACATTAGCCTGTTTGAGGTCCTCAAGTTCTTGTTGCAACTTGATGTTATATAATTTTGATGCATTGTTATACTCTTCTCTACACACTCGAATCCCATCATCATTAAAAGTTCTTTGTGATGGTAAACATCCTATTGGAGGTACACCGAAGACCCCTATTCTTCTTGCTCCGAGTTGGTAAATATCCTTCAATGTAATTAAAATGTTTTAATAAAGAATCTACATGTCAGTGTTACTTCTAACTGGAACGTTACCCGACTATAAAAATGATGTATGTTCTATGTGCAAAACACATATGCGTAATATCATTAAAAGAACTAAATAACTAACTATACCTGTATGAAGTCAGAAGCAGATGATACAATTAAGTTTGTGTAAGAGAGGATATCATATTGTAATCTCCTTATGCCGATAGTGTAGTAAGTATTAGCAATATCATCGGTGCCCGCAACGACCAAAAATAAACTATTTGCTAATATGCTTTGTGTTCTTCTTTCACCAACCATTCGCTTCACTTTCTCTATATATTCTTTGAATTGTTGTAGCTGATCCGTTAATGACAAAACCGACTGATATACATAATATTCTAATTAGTCTATAAAAAGTTAAAATTATGAGCATTAACAAAAGAAGGTATTTTTTAGAATAAAAAATAGTTGAAGCAAGGATAATCTTAATTTAATAATTCAAATTCTATTATATATTGAATGGACTACGGGTGTGTCAACCAGATTCAGCCCCACAATTACCCCTCAATTTAGTCACATTCAGTAATTTTTGGTTGGGAAAATGACTTATGAGCCCAACGAAGTTTTCAAACCGTTTAAAAAACCCCAATCATGTTTTGTCTGTTCAAAAAAACCCAACAAACTTAACATTTTTTCTAAAAACCCCAACTAAGTTAAACTTTCCTGAAAGTCAAATAACAGAAACATATGACGTGGCATATTACCGTGTCGGAAAAATGACTTGTTAGACCAACGAAGTTTTCAAAACGTTTAAAAGACTCCAATCATGTTTTGACTGTTCCAAACTTAAACAAAACAAAATTAGGATTTTTTGAACGGTTTGGAACTTTGTTGGACTTTTTAGACAAAATGTTAAGTTCATTGGGTTTTTTTGAACAGACAAAACATGATTGAGTTTTTTTAAATGGTTTGGAAACTTCGTTGGGCTTTTAAGTCATTTTCCCTTTTTGGTTTGTGAAAATTTTGATAAAAGCTAGAAAAGATTATGTACGGATAAAATTTTCATATTACCACTATTTTGGAAGTTTGGGGATCATATCCGCACCCACCAGAAGCAAAGCTTACACCAGTTAGAAGTTCTTCATCATCTAGGGATGGATCAAGATATGCTGGCAAAAGTTCCTTTATTCCTAGTTGTTCGACTGAAAATCAATGAAAGTAGGCTTATTTTTATTTTCTACGAATAAAAAATTATACATAATATAATAATATGAACTAAAATTTTCTTGGAGACGTATAGATATAGAAAAATCTAAAAAAAATAAAGTACAGACAACGATTGAGTGTTATTTAATAAAATTAAAAACATGTATTAATAAATAAATGATATTCGACTATCGGATAAGATTCTAAGAGGTCTAAGAAAAATTTGCATTTGTGAATGATTATAAATTTATTGTTAATGGCTTAGCTTATTTTGTTGTATGTGAAACCAAATTAATCTTCATTACATGTTTTTAGTTCGAACTATATGTGACGTAATTTCTTTTTATCTATGAGAAGTTTGGAGGCTTGGATACATCCTCGCAAAGCTTCAGATGTTCTAGAGCTCCTGATAGGTGGTTTTCCCACCTATCATCACCACAGAAGTCCCATAAGAATTTTATAGATATAAGTGATGATCAAACGATTGATTGTCTCCCTAGACAATATAGTAATGTCATCATATCGGGGGAAAATATGTTTGGGTTTAGTAAAACACATATAATTTTTTGGTAATAGTTTGATATGTGCTTAATATTTTTAATTACGGATGGATTTTTCTAGAGTCGTAATTTATCCGGTTTTCTTAAAGGTCATAACGAAATTTCAGTTGAAATGTTAGAATATTTTTGGACATTGAACCAAGTTGATTATAACAAGAATGTTCTTTTTGCTATCTTCTGGATTTCCCAAATCTAAGATAAGATGTGACATGTTAGAATTGTTTATTTTAATTTAGTGATTGAATCAGGCTCGAACTCATTTAATAAATGAATCAAAATTCATCTTGAGTTCAGCTCCGACTCTTCTAACACGATCTCAACTTGATATTTTAGCAAGATAATCGTATATAGTTCATGATTAGCTTTTACGAATTTTGATTTTCCAAAACGAGAGGGGAGTTCATGTGGTTGCATGGGCGGTTGGATGTCATCAAACATGTTCCTTGGTATAGTTCATCTGGAAGAGAAACGGAACGGGAAGACTATAAAAAACATATATTATATTAATAAAATCTTTAACACATAAAATAAGTGATTATAAAATACTATTTTGAGATATGTTTTAGAAAGTGGGCACAAAACACATTATTTATATTTTTTTATTTTGATTTGATATTGTTATTTTTGGTTGTATACCAAATATTACTTTTTTTTTCGAATTTGGACTATATAAGGGTGTACGGTATCATAGCGGGAAAAATGAAAAGGAAGTTTTCCTCACAGTGCAACATTATCCCTTGGGTGAAGGAACCAACCCACATAAAAGAGGTGGGGGGAGAAGGTGTCACTCTCTCTTTTCATGTAATTGGGTAGTTTTTTTAAATCTTTTTTAATATTTATAAAATTATATAACAACTAAAAAAATAGAAAAAAAATTATAAAATTTTGTAGGGGAGCTCCCCTCACTATATTTATAATTTTTAAATCTTTTTTAATATTTATAAAATTTTTTTAAATCTTTTCATGGAATGTGTGGGAAGCTCCCCTCACTATATTTTTATTTTTAAAAAAAATTATATTTCATATATATATTATACTCATTTTGTAGGGAATTAAAAACCATGAATTGTGATATATTAAAAACGCTGGGCGTACCCGGCTGCCTCTCAGGATTGGGGAACGCCACCCAATACGCGGCGCGTACTGGGATTACGCCCGGGTACTCCCAGCTTCAGCACTTTAACTCTTTACATCTTAAACAGTTAAGACTCACATCCAAATTTTAGATCCGACCACATCTAAGCCTCTTAATCCATAAAGTTGGTGACTTTATGCCTTTGCATGGCTGGATAAGTCACCAACTCTCACAATGTTCCATCCTTTAACTCTAGAAGGCTTATACTCAAGCATGACCTCAAACTAATCACTAAAGATGGAAGTTTTATGGCTCTAAATCACTAATAGTACTGAATGGGGACAGATCTCGGACCATGGAGCACTTTAGACTCATAAAGTCTCCACCTTTAGGGTTTTTAGCCATAGCAAAAGCACATGCAACAACAAATCAAAAGAAGAGGAAAGTTTTGAACTTTATACCTCTAAGTGTAGTCCCTTGCTCTGTAGATCTCAGATCCAAAATGGCACCTCAAAGCTTTAGCTTCCAAGAACTCCTTTCCTTCTTCTTCACTAAGTCACCAAGGCACAAAAAGCTCCAATCAACACTCTCACACACTAAGGACGATGGGGGCTCTCTTTTAGGGTTTCACTCACTGATATGGAGGCTGATAAATGATTTTATATAGTTTGTATTTATTTTAAAATAAAAAGTTGAGTGTATTAGAAAAAAATAAAAATGAAGAGTTTTTATTTATTGTGGTATGGGAAGGTAAAAGTGTGATAAATCACAAAATGATGTTTATTTTTAAAACGGCAAACTACATAAACTATTTCTAAATACCATCTATATCAGCTAAAAGACACGAACTCATGATCTATCATTATTATAGTTTAAAGGTCCTTTTGGTAAAAATGTTATAACAAATGGGTTGAAGGAGTGAGAGAATTGACTCCCTTCACATGTAACTACACAAAATGGATTAAATTTGTAATCTATGAATCTATAATTATCTATTCCTCATGAACATTTATTATGGATTATTCCAGATAGTTTGGTCGGAATCAAAATTAAAGAGCCACAATGTGTTAGAAGTCACAACTTCAACGCGTTAACTTTATGATTTAGTTTTGAAATTCATACTTGTAATATGTATTTTTTTTTCTAATGATCAATTTATTGATCGTAATACCTAAACTATGTTCGATGATGCACGAAAGAGATTTTGTTCACTTAAACCACTGAACTATGTCAAAAAAGCTACATGAAATATAAAGATCGAAGTATAATTAATCAATATAAATCATCTTCTAAACTAATTCACGAATACGTAAACATAGGATTTAAAGATTCCTTTCGCAAAAAATTAACTGGGATACTCATTAATGTGTAGGTGATATAAAGATATATGTTCGTTTATGTGCGACATGAAAAACTTGATATCACGTCTAAAGCAGTTATCAGTTTCTAAAATTTACAAACATGATATTCAAAAAAACAAAAGCAGAAGTTGGAGTCTATATAGACTGACATGGCGAAAAAGTTGGGTTTGTCACAAAAACAAGGTTTCACCAAAACTACAACAAGTATATTCAATAGAGAAATGCATCAAAATAATATTGAGTCATAAAAAAAAAACAAGGCTTTACCAAACATATCGGCCGGTGTCCTATTATTAGAAAATCTTCCGGTTGATTTTCCGGCGACAAAATCCTTTCCGTAAGGAGAAAAATTGGCTTTAGTCAAAGTGTTTAAGTTATTGTTATTTCCTTGATCTATAATTGAGTCCCCAAACACTATAACTGCAGGTATAGTAGCATTTTCCGGCAATGTCACCCGTGCTCTACCATTATCACCGAAACAAAGAATAGTGAACAAGAAAGTAATGAGTGACGTTGAAAAGTATGACAGTTTGATCAAAGTAAGAGGCTTCATCATGTATCTCAAGTACATGTGAAGGAAATGACCTCTATAAACGAAAAAGAAATATGGAGAAGCAAAGCAGTGAGTGTGGATATATATATATATATATATATATATATATATATATATATATGGAAAAGTGAATATACCTTTAAAGTATATAAGTTTAAGTACCCAAACTCACAATACTACGTTATTTTGTATCATATATACATTGTAATTGTCTAATGTTCTTATAATTCAACTTTTAACTTGATTTCATTCAAAGATTTTTATAAATTTTACATTTATTTTCCTCTTTCATAATTTTCATTTTCAACTACAATATATATAGGTTAATTGATGTTCGTCAAAAAGATGTGATGTAAGAGGAAGATAATAATGAAAATTTGAAAATCTTGAAAGTAAATCAAGTTAAGGATTAAAGTTGAAGAACATTATAATAAATATATCAAACAAAATGACGTATTATGGTGATTTTGGGTACCTAAACTTATATAGCCTTAAGGATATATTCACCTTTTCCCTATATATATATATATATATATATATATATATATATACTAGCCGTCTACCCGCGCAAAGCGGCGGGGCACGTGAGTTCTTTCGGTGATATGTTTCCATTACAAAATTGTTATGTTAAAAAAAAGTACATGTTGAAGACAATATAATCAAACTATGGTGTTATTTGTTACATCATGCATCAAATAACCAATAAAAAGCAACCAGTCAAGACGACACAAAATATTAATCGTGCAATACTTCTTTATACACCACATTTGCTGTATAAACCCCATCACCTTTTGAATTTTCGTTAGGCTTTACTAATACTTTTGTATTGCAACGTGAAACCCCTCTGGACAATGCAACATAAAGTTGTCCATGCGAGAATACTGGTTCTGGAAGATAGATACCTACATATGGAATTGTTTGTCCCTGAGCTTTATTGATTGTCATTGCAAAGCACAATCGAATAGGAAACTGTTTCCTCATTAGAGGATCGATGGTTGCTACTAATTGCTTGTAACTGGTATTGGTTTCATATCGATGGATGTGGATTCGCATATGAAATCAATTGTGTTCGCATCTATGAAATCAGTTCGCACATGACATCAATTGAGTTCGCATTTGGTTTTGTGGGTCAAAACAGTTCGCATAAGAAGTTCACGATTTGTTTGAGGTTAATTGATTTTGATTTCGCAAGCTTGGAGTCGGAGATCTGGATTGTGTTCGCATCTATAGAATGCGAGGAGAATTTAATGGTGATATTCAGTTCGCATTTGGTGACACAAGTACGTGGTTGATGATTTTTGGTTGGTTCGCATTTGAAATTAGTGGGTTTCGCATTTGGCTTCGTATCTGGGTTTCTCAAACAACTGAAATGCGAATATGAGACAATTGATTAATTTCTCAGTTAATGCGATGAAATGCGAATGAACTCAAAGACGGATGGATGCAAGATGCGAAGAATTTGAATGAAAATGCGAAGTTTTTAATGTATAAATGCGAATTGGGGAAGAAAGCTTAGAGTTTCGCATTTGGCACCTGATCTTTTCAAGAAATAATATAAGTGGTCCAACTTCGCAAAATGGGGTCATTTAATCAGAAAATCGATCATTCTTCAAATATGACATTTAATCAGAAAATCGATCTAAAAATGAGACATTTGGTGTTTATCGATTTTTCAGGGTCGACGGGTTGTATGAAAAGCGAAGGCTGAGTAATTGAAAATTAGAGGATCGATGGTTGTTGCTACTAATTGCTTGTAACTGGTATTGGTTTCATATCGATGGATGTGGATTCGCATATGAAATCAATTGTGTTCGCATCTATGAAATCAGTTCGCATATGACATCAATTGAGTTCGCATTTGGTTTTGTGGGTCAAAACAGTTCGCATAAGAAGTTCACGATTTGTTTGAGGTTAATTGATTTTGATTTCGCAAGCTTGGAGTCGGAGATCTGGATTGTGTTCGCATCTATGGAATGCGAGGAGAATTTAATGGTGATATTCAGTTCGCATTTGGTGACACAAGTACGTGGTTGATGATTTTTGGTTGGTTCGCATTTGAAATCAGTGGGTTTCGCATTTGGGTTCGTATCTGGGTTTCTCAAACAACTGAAATGCGAATATGAGACAACTGATTAATTTCTCAGTTAATGCGATGAAATGCGAATGAACTCAAAGACGGATGGATGCAAGATGCGAAGAATTTGAATGAAAATGCGAAGTTTTTAATGTATAAATGCGAATTGGGGAAGAAAGCTTAGAGTTTCGCATTTGGCACCTGATCTTTTCAAGAAATAATATAAGTGGTCCAACTTCGCAAAATGGGGTCATAAAAAGACAAAAGTGCAGAATTTTCATTTCGCATCCCTGTAGTCTTCGCAAAATGGAAAATTTTACCCAGTTTCGCATTTGGGGTAAATTTTTTTGAGAAATTGGAATATTTTCAAACTTTTTTTCTTAAAAAAAACACATTGTCTTCGTCTAAGAGAGGGAGAAAAACGATTAGGGTTTATAAGGGAAATACTTCATGGCAGTGGGATTTATAGCAGGGTTTATAAGGTGGAGAGAACAAACACACGTCTGCTATGAGATATTTTAATCAGCTGCAAATGCAACATTTAAAGGATATTTGTTGAAGCGTATTAGGATGAAAAGGTTTTAAATTTTGAATGACCATGAAATTAGGATTTTGCTGAGAAATATAAGGAATCAAAACAAATTTAAAATTTAATATTATTTTATTAATGGTTGTTTGTAATATTAGCTGTACGTCTTAAAAAAATAATATTATTATATTCAATCTATTTATAGAAATAGTTAGATTTCTTTTATAAGTAGTAAAGATAAAGATATATATGTTGTTTATTTCATGCTTTGCTTATTGATTTGTGCTTGGGAATTAAAGGAAAGCTAGTTTATGGCAGATATTCTTTTATAGAACTGATTTTTAATTGTTGAAGGTGTTGATTAAATGGGTGTCTTGGTTGAACTGTAGGGGGTAGTGAGGGGATAAGATGGAGGAATTGATAGCAGATCAAACATTTAAAAGGAGGCAACTACTTGATTCGGTAACGGTAAGGTTAGCAATTAATTTGATGTTGGATTTTTTGGTTTTTCCTAACCTTATTTTTTGTTGCATCTGTTTGTTTACTGCAAGGTAACATATAGAAGCAGTGGAATGAACAAGACAGGTGATATGTACATGAAGGCCCTTTAAGCATTGCAAAGGTAGCACGACTCTGATATGAAAATGAGGCGATTTGTTTTGGCTTAACTTTAATTTAATAATTGGTGATTGTGAAAGAAGTAGAAGTGAGTATCTCTATTTATTATCCTTCTTAATTTTTTTCCTTGTGATAATTTACAAAGTAAATGTATATATTTTTTATCGCCTTAATATGTCATTGGTTTTGGAAGTTTTTCGTAACCTTCATATTTTATGGACAAATTCTGATTACAGATGTACGGCTTTTAACTATTAACAAGTGGATCTTAGGGAAATGCAATTTCTCATTAATGATTTGTTAAATTTCTACTACTGTTTTTTAAAAAATCTACCAAATACAACATCCGACTTTCATTCGAGTTCTTTTTAAAGCACTTCACTTTTAAAATTTACCGATTATAGCTTCTTACTTTCATTTTATTTCATTTTTAAGCATTCCACTTTCAAAATCTACAAATTAATTTGCAAGTGATTATCAACACTTTATTATATTTAAAATTTTTAATTCTAATATTATTATGCATGTAATTAATCCGCTTAATCTACAATGATTGAAAACAGAGATTATCGAAACAAAGGAATACATAGTTGGCAAACAGAAGACTGATTCCTTGCTTGACATATTGAATTTTGACAAAATGGAATAGATATCCATTGATACCACCCAAAACAAGAATACCTAGAGGTTATAAATTTTTAAATTTTGTAGAGTTAATGGTAACTTTTGACTTGCTCATACGTTTACTTTTGAAATTGTAGGATGAATGCAAGTGTATGACGCAAAGTATAGAGTGTGATTGATAAATAGGTTGGAAGTGTTTTTTTTTAGTTATGTAAATAAATTACTGCAAAAAACCTCTTTCCATTCCTGTAACATATATGGATGTTTACCTATGTCTAGCTTTTGGGTGTGCATGTATAAACCCGTATGTATGTTTCCCTATTCCATTTAAAGATAGATATGTAAACACAGTTATGTTAATCAAAATAACTCTTTGATTATTGTGAGAATATCACTCAAAACTCACGGTGTTTACAATGGTTTCCGATGATCATAACTCGACCTAAAACAATGTAAATATACTCCTAACTACCGACATGTAATTAGATTACAATTAGGAAACTAGAAACCTACTTGTTTATGATTTCCTAAAAACTAGGTTGCTATTACTTGGTCTCCAAGTCCTACTCGACTTAGGATTCCAACACCATTATATGCAAAATCATGTACTACTTTCTAATGAACTACGTATGTCGTTTATCTACATACCCAGTCAATATGCGAAAATCAAATTAACAGAAACACACTTGAAACAAAAACAACTTGACACAGCCACACACTAGTCTAATACTAAATTTGTAGGCCTTTAACTAGCTGTAAGTCAATTAAACCTACACATGCATTAAATGCAAAATCACATTGCTAAGAGTTTAATTCTTATGTCTTGATTGGTTTTCCCAGCGAGAAATAGTTGAAATGTTAGGAACGATTGTAACTCAAGTACAACTTCAAATGCATGTAACGGAAAAGGGAATAAAATTTTATATGTTCTTAAATTCCGACACTGTAAAACATTAATTTGATAAAAGAATTGTCAGCTTTTTCATCTGCCAAAACCATTCGTGGGTTCTAACTTGAACGATGCTCAAAAGTTATATCAGAAAACGACGTCATCTGAAAAATTAATTAATTAAAGGGATAATGACTTGAAAGGGTAACGAGCTTTCGATTTTTGTCACATTTAGTCACTAAACTTTTTTTCGTTATCTATTTGCCATTGAACTATTGAAACTGTTCACATTTTACCCTTATGACCGGCTGTTGCCGGTCATAAGGGTAAAATGTGAACAGTTTCAATAGTTCAATGGCAAATAGATAACGAAAAAAAAGTTTAGTGACTAAATATGAACGAAATCGAAAGTTCGTTTCCCTCTAAAAAGTTCAATGACTAAATGTGAACAAACTTCCTCTTGTATTATGTTTTAGCAAATTATTTATTTTTGTTAAATTGTAGCAACATTTGTTGTTGAAGAAATCTATGAAATAAAAAAAAAACAAAACAAAACCCTGAAAATATATTTAAAAAAAAACAAAAAACCAAAACCGAAATAAAAAACCAATGGTTTGACATTTTCCAAAATAAAAAATCAAAATTTCCAATCTGATTTTGGTTTTACAAAAAAATGGATTATTCTCACTGATGTGAATTATGACCATTGGTTTGGCATGCGAAATTTGTGACATCCCATGAATATATAGTTACAACATCGTCTGAACTCGTAATTCATAGTAAGGGGTTAGAGTATCATCACATGAATACGTAGTTACAATATCGCCTGAAATTGTAATTCATCACCTACAAGTTATGGGCCTGCTGGTGTTTCCACTGGGCTGTCTAGAATAGTCCGTGGTCGCCATCTATACTCTGGTAGATGACTACATCGCCACAGTGCTGGTTAAGGTTATGGTATCTCCTTTCATCCTATATCACATATTCATCATCATCTATTTTCCTAATTATCATCACCTTTCTATCATCACCTATCTCTCATCATTTTATTGATGGGTTTTGAGCATTCTAACACTACCTAAGTGTACATGCAACCCTAATAACCTTGGATCTATGTTTGTCTAATTAGCATGCAAAGTTGAATTCCAAGGTTATATTCCTATCTAGCATACATGGGGAACAATTTTAACATAAAGTATAGATAGAATAACTTACCTTGTTGTTGTTTGTGTTCCTTGAAACCTTGTGAGCCTAGCACCCCAAGTGTGATGCCTCAAATGCTTCACACAACACCAAATGCTCTTGGAAGAACTTATGAGAGTATACACACTTCTTAAAATCGGCCAAGCCCTCTTATTTCTTAGTGTAGCCGATTTTAGGTGGAGAACAAGTTACTTATATAGTGTTGACACATCTAGGGTTAAACCCTAATGTGTCATGACTCTTCATTTCCATGACCCATGGGTTTGTAACTCCCATGGAGCATCCATGGAGCATCCTATGGGTGGAACCCAACTTGATGGTCCATGGAGCCTTTTAGCCCACTATACAAGATATGGATTATTTACATAATCAACCCATATATTTAATTAGTTATCTTTTGATCACATAATTAATTCTAAATTAATTCTTGATCAAACTAATCAAATAATATTATTAATATATTAGAACTTATAATATATTAATAATCTCCAAGTGTTATTTCTCTCATTTAGTCTATCCAATTGCATGGTGCCATGCAACCCAAATGGACCATGCCGGGTCGGGTCAAGTACATACCAGAAATAGTTATGGACTTAGACACCTTATCCAACATTTATTTCATCACATTGCTGGTTAAGGTTATGCTTCATAACTTCGAACCCCAAGGTTTACTCTACTAAAGTTTCATATTCTCGTCTCTCTGGACCTAGAAGGGTCCAGATCTATCACACCAAAAATCTCAAGATAGCTCTTCCTCTCACTCTACACACTCAAGCTCGCTAGGGTTCTCACTTATAGGAAAAGTAGTCGCAATTGAAGGTCATAAGTTCCTTTAAATATGGCTCGGGCCCAAAGATTTAGGGTTTCTGCCAACAGCGCGGACTCGTCGAATCGCCTCACCGACTCGTCGAGTCCATTCATTAATCCAAGTCATCAGTCGCGACCTTACTCGACGAGTTGAGGCGTCAACTCGTTGAGTCTCTCTTCCTAACTCAAAAGAAAAATACTTAAATTATGATACCTGGAAATCCGGATGTTTCATTTTGTTTTTTTTATTTCATAGATTTCTTCATCAACAAATGTTGCTACAATTAAATAAAAATAAATAATTTTCCTAAAACATAATACAACAGGAAGTTTGTTCACATTTAGTCATTGAACTTTTTAGAGGGAAACAAACTTTCGATTTTGTTCACATTTAGTCACTAAACTTTTTTTCGTTATCAATTTGCCACTAAACTATTGAAACTGTTCACATTTTACCCTTATGACCGGTAATAGCCGGTCATAAAGGTAAAATGTGAACAGTTTCAGTAGTTCAATGGCAAATAGATAACGAAAAAAAGTTTAGTGACTAAATGTGACAAAAGTTGAAAGTTCGTTACCCTTTCAAGTCATTATCCCTTAATTAAACTTGGCTTTTTCCAGGCCTTCCCAGCCTCTCAAAATCGTCATTGGAGACATGTATGTAACAGTACGGACCATATAACTCGAGAGGAGCTCCTTCCCCAGTAATACACACTTCCAACAAAAAGATGCTCTGTGGAAGGTGACAAATGCAAGTGCTTCTTAAATCCAAATATCGTAAAGATTCTAAACGTCCAAGTTCATCGGGCAATTTCTCAAGTTGAACACAATAGCGAAGATGGAGACGTTTTAGGCGTTTCATGTTACATATGCTATCCGGGATACGTTGTAAAAGCTTGCAATACCTGAGGTCGAGTTTCTCTAGACACTCTAATCGGCCAAGATCCTTGGGTAATTTCTCAAGAAACAAACATTTTTCAAGTCCGAGAGATACAAGATGTTTCAACATACAAATGCTATCGGGAAGATCTTTAATCTTTGCAGAATACAAATTTAGGTGCTTTAAACAATCCAATTCGCCAAGATCCTTGGGTAACTTCTCAAGAGTAGAACAATGCTTTAGTTTAAAAGATTCAAGATGTTTCAGCATACAAATGCTATCAGGAAGATCGTTAATCTTTGCAGATGACAAAGTTAACTCGTTTAAACATTCCAATTCGCCAAGATCCTTAGGTAACTTCTCAAGCAACCAACAATCAACAAGTTTAAGAGATTCAAGATGTTTCAGCTTACAAATGCTATCGGGAAGATCTTTAATCTTTGCAGATGACAAGGTTAGCTCTTTTAAGCATTCCAATTGGCCGAGATTCTTAGGTAACTTTTCAAGCAACGAACAATCAACAAGTTTGAGAGATTCAAGATGTTTCAGCATACAAATGCTATCAGGAAGATCTTTAATCTTTGCGGATGACAAAGTTAGCTCTTTTAAGCATTCCAATTCACCAAGATCCTTGGGTAACTTCTCAAGCAACGAACAATCCCTAAGGTGGAGATATTTTAGATGTTTCAACATGCAAATGTTATCAGGAAGATGTTTAATGTTTGTGTAAGAAAATTCTAGCTTCTCTAGATATTCTAGCTTGTCAAGGTCCTTTGGGACCTCTTGAATACCACCTTCGAGAATAAGCTTTCTTAAAAGTTGTAACCCACAAATGCTTCTTGAAAGCGTATCAAGGTTTGTGCAATCACACGGACCTATAGAAATAAGCTTTACTATGTTTGTTGTCAATAAGGGTCGATTTTCTTTATATAAACATCTAAACCGAAACTTTGGAAAGTTGTTGTTTGGGTGCAACGAACATCCATCTAGGGGCTCCGCTATTAGTTTTAACTCAGCTAAAGGAGCAACCTCAAGTGTTTCATCCTCTATGCAAAACTGAAAATGATTAAACCTCAAACAATCACTCATGTCAAAGTATACAAGCTTTTCCAGACATCCACCGACCATATGAAGTTCTTCCAAATAATTACAATTTTGAAGATCTAATTCCTCTAGATTTGGAGTCAGCCCAATGTCAAGGTTCTTAATCATTGAATCAGTGAGTCTGAGGTATCTTAGATTTGGAGATCTGCGAGGCATTTGAAGTTCTACCAAATTCGGACATCCTTGAAGATCTAAAAGCTCAAGATTAGGAGTCGATCCAAGGTGAAGGGTCCTCACCATTGAAAAACCGAGGTGAACAGTTATAAGCTTTAAACATTCAGCGAGAAAGTGAACTTCTACCAAATCAGCACATCCTTCAAGACGCACTGTCTCGATATTTGGAGTAAGTCCAAGATCAAGCGTCCTCAACTTTGAATAACTGAGGTCAAGGAATCTTAGCTTGTGAAGAACCTAATAATTAATAGAAGCAAAAAAAGGATGAATATTGGTGTAATGACAAAGCAATGGATCTATATAGCATTAAATTGATTGATGGAGAAGAATCAAATAACCATAATATATTTTACCTTTGTTTCTCCCCCTTCCCAAAGTTGTACAATTTTGCTATTACTCATCAGAAGTGCAACAAGATTATTTGCTTGAAATGTTTCGGGTAAAGACCTAAAAGGGTAAGCGTGCCAATGCAGATATTGCAAAGTATTTGGAAATTTAAAGTTCGGACAAGAACAATCACTTTCAGTACTTGCATCAATAAATCCCCACAACACGTGAAGAAATCTTAGCTCCTTCATCTTTCGAAGACTTTTCATCATAATTTCGGGACTGAGTTTCGACATGTGGAACCGTATATATCTTGTTGATTTAGTACCCTGTAATTCAAAAGAAAGCACCATTAAATTTTGTGCCCTGTTAAATGAAAATATGTTAACTCCAACTTCAAAATAAAATGCATCCTTACCAAGTCATTAGCTAATATATGTTCAATTTCATTGTCAATCCACAATCGACTATGTTTGTGAGGCTTATCCGGATGCGAACGACGAATAATATTCTTTCCCATTTCTTCAATATGGTCATGCATGCTTAGGTACCCATTATGATTAGTTATGAGGGATTTTTGCTCAAGAACTCTTAAACCATTTCTTGCATGAAATCCACAGCTTTCAAGCATTCGGATTGCAGTGTCTTTCGGCGAACCTTTTAGTATGCATGCAACATCTAGAAATATTTCCTTGTAGTCATCCTCTAGATCCATATAACTTAATTCCAATTTCTTCAGAGTTTCCTTTAATGGAATTGTTTTTAGTCTTTCTAGGGCATCTATCCATTCGAGCTCACTTTTACCACAAAGAAACGAACCCAAAACTTTGATCGTTAAGGGAAGACCAGCAGCATAATGCACAACTTGTTGTGATAGCTCTTCGTACCCTAGATTTGGAATCACTCTCCCAAATGCATACCTACAGAAGAGGCAAATTGCTTCCTTATCCAATAACAACTTGATATTATGAATCGACTTCACTCCATGTGCTACAAGCACTTGCTCATCTCTTGTTGTAATGATAATTCTGCTTCCTTGCTTAAACCAATTTGTCTCACCGGCTAACGCCTCAAGCTGCTCTACATGATCCACATCATCTAGAACGAGAAGAACCTTTTTACCACATATCCTCCTCTTCATCTTGTTATTTCCATCATAAACACTGCTGACGGTGATACCTTGCTCATTTAAGACATCACAAAGGATTTGTTTTTGCAACGACTTCAAACCGGACAAATAATCTTTTGAAATTTCCCTTACATTCTCAACGAAGCTTGCACCTTCGAATTGAAAGGATATCTGATCAAAAACAGCTCTAGCCAACGATGTCTTCCCACCACCTCCCATTCCCTTGATCCCAATCATGCGAACATCATCACAACCAGTTCCTAAAGCTGATAAAACATCGTTCATTCGGGTCACCATGCCTACTAATTTTTCATCAATGCCGAAATGGAGGGATTGTAACTCTAGTGAAAGCCCTTCAACAATTTTTTGGATAAATTTAGCTTCATGCCTGTATTTTAAAGAAGATTTAATTAGCTTACTCAATCTACACTAATAGTTACTTTCACATCTATAACAACGAAGGTGTAAATTAAGTAATAACATAGTTGTATAATCATAATTCATGACAAATTCAACATGACCGATCAAAATAACGCAAAAACATGATGATAAAGTCATTAATTACCCATCGTCAGTATTCTTCAACACCCATCCAGCCAAATTCGCCGCATCTGTCATAGCCTTCCTCCATTTCTCAGTAGTCTCTTCGTTTTTGTTTTCATGTTTTGAAAAGGCTTCTCCAACTACCCCACTTTGTCTGCGAACTTCCTTGGGTTCCACATCATAGAAGACGGGGTAAGCAGTATGATCCTTGGTCTTGTGACAGTTCATTATCTTCACAAGCTCATCTAAACACCACGATGAAGATGCATAGTTTGTAGAGAAAACAATGATGTACAATTTTGAGTCTTCGATGGATCCCATGAGTTCATCACTGATCCAGTTGCCCTGATTGATTTCCTCATCGTCTTTGTAAGTATGAATGTTTTTCTGCTTGAGAGCATGATAAAGATGATCAACGAAAGTCTTTCGAACGTCGTCGCCACAAAAACTTAAAAACACATCATACTTGAAATTCTTGTAAATGGATGAAGACGCCATTGATGATACTCTTCACGTATCCTTGAACTCTTTGTTGATCAGAAATTAAAAAAAAAAAAAAAAAAAAAATTTGCGAAGAAAGTCGATAAGATATCTGAATAAGCCTCGGAAACCTACCAAACCTACCAAACCCACCCACCACTAGGTGGATATTGTTAACTAGTTGTCAGGTGGGTGTTAATTATGTATTTTTAAATAAATAAATTGGTATAAAAATTAGTATAAACCAAAATAATTAAAAAAAAAAAAAAAAAAAAAAACTTTGGCTATTATACAAATATCATTTTTTTTTTTAAATTTCTCTGAATGTAACTTTTTTCGTCAAACGATTTATGTCAAAAAAAAAAAAAAAAGTACGATTTATGTAAATTTATTGTTAAAAAAATTCTACCAATAAAAGTCAAACATGGGCCAAATTTATAAAAAGAGTACGGATAAAAGCTGTAAAAAATAAATAAATAAATAAAAATAAAAAAAGAGAAGCCAAGGGCAGCAAAGCATGAATTATGTGAAAAAAGAGTAGTAGGAGGAGACGACATTCAAACCGTCGTCAGTCTCTTCACATGACATGTTACAAACCAACATGAAAGTTACTATAGCTGTATGTGACTTTTGGGCTAGTGGAGCCATAAATGACAAAGTTCAAGGACCATAAATGAAACTTGGAAATTAACAATTCAAAATGAATTGCCAGTGAACGTGTAAATTGGTGGTTCACATTTTTTTCAACTTGACGAACATGTGGATCATTAATTGCTTGGTTGAAAATGATACTTAAGTTGAAAATGATACTTTAATTGTCATCTCAATAATTTACGGTTCTTTTAATATGTTAAAATATTAAGAGTAAGCATAGAGAAGATTATCTCAATAATTTACGATTGAAGCACGTATAAATAGATGTGTGTCGTAAGTTAAGAAGATGCTCAACAACGAACATATAGATACACACAAAAGAAATAGTAAGGTTGTATTTCTGTTGAGTCTTATTTTTTGTAGCAAAAAATTACGAGTGATATCTTATAACAATTGATCAGATTACAAGTGCAGTTTAGCATTGTATGATTGTAATTTTCTTTAATGTTAATAAAATTTCATCTATCTTGTTTGGTAGTGGATGCAAGTCAAATTAAACTGAACCATGTTTTTTTTTTTTTTTTGGAACGGCAGAATAATATTAAGCTAGCAAGAAGTTGGAAAAAGAATTACATCAAAATAGTAGCAGAAAAAAGGATTATGAAGCCAAGATGACCAACTAATATTGGCTTTACTACACGCACTAGAAATCCAAACAAAAGATTTATGAACAACATTATCAAAAATCATAGATTTCTTAAGTGTATCCGCTCTAAAAATCACACAATTCCTGAAGTTCCAAATGCACCAGAAGGCAGTCAAAATCACAGCGTCAAAAGCTTTACGCTAACCAATTCGGCAGATGGTAGTATCGGCCCATTTCAAAAGGGAATCCACGGTCAACTGAGAAGGACAATTAACACCCCACCAAATCGCAATACGGGACCAAATAACACTCAACTCAGAACACTCAGCAAAGATATGATCAACAGTCTCCACTCTAGAAGAACAAACCGGACAAAGAATAGAATCAACCGTGATACCCTATAAGATAAGCGCTCTCTAGTATGGATACTAGATAATCTAATCCTCCAAATAAGAATATTTATCTTAATTGGAACCCAATTATTCCAACGAGTTGAAATACCTCCGTTACTAAGCGTGAAACCATCCAAAAATTTGTGAGCCGAAGAGATAGAAAAATTGCCTGATACATCAATAACCCAACCAAGTCTATCTGGGACCGGCCTGAGTTGGAGATCCTACAAAAGACAAATTAAATTATTCCATTGCTCCTGTTCCGCTCCACCTCTAGGATCTCATCTGATAGTATTAACACCCAATCCCAAGGACATCCTATATGTAATAGAAGCATGTCTATGCAAATCCAGCGCATAGATTCTAGGGAAAGAGGTAGACAGAGGCATATTGTCTCTCCAAACATCATGCCAAAAAGAAGTGCGAGTACCATCACCAACTCTAATAGGGCATAGAGATTGAAGATCAATATCTTTCTGGCGTAACTAAGACAACATGCGAACGACCCCTCCCCAAGATCCTTGGCAAGTAATAGGATATCTCAAATTCCTGCAAGCACCACCCATACCATATATAGTTTTTATGACTCTAACCCACAGAAGATCAGGGTAATGATAACACCTCCACCACCACCAAAAAATCATAGCTCTATTGAAAGAGAAAAGACTACCAATCCCCAAACCTCCTTCATCCCTGGAGGCTAAAACTTTGTCCCATCTAACCCAATGCATATGACGTTCATCACTACCTGCTCCCCAAAAAAATCTCGCCCTCAAACCTTCAAGGTCCTTCAAAATTGAAAAAGGAGCAAGGAAAACAGACATCAAGTAACTCCCTAAAGATCCCAAGACAAACTTCACCAAAGTAAGTCGACCTTTAAACGAGAGACACTTAGCCTTCCAATTATAGAGCTTGGAATGAAATCTATCAATCATAGAAACCCAAGAGGACTTTCGAGTCATAGGCTGACTCACCGGGATACCGAGATGGAAAAAAAGGGAGCATAGAAGTTGCACAACCAATCCTTTTAGCCACCATAAGAACATTGGAAAAAGAAATTCCAACACCAATCAGTTTACTTTTAAGTAAATTGATTTTAAGCCCAGAAGCCAAGTAAAAACATCTAAAGATACGAAGGAGACAATTAGCATTCTTAGGATCCTAAGGAGTGACAACATAACATCATCTGCATACAGGAGATGAGAAATCTCAATTCCTGAAATAGAAACTCCTTTGAGAGCATTCCCAGAACGAGCCCTTGATAAATCAATATGAAGACCCACTATAGCCAAAATAAACAGAAAGGGAGATAGTGGATCACCCTGTCTCAACCCACGGTGAATTTGAAATTCATCAGTCGGGGAACCATTAACCAGAACATAAGCCCTAGCAGTAGACAAATGCTCCTTAATCCACCGACACCATGTAGACCCAAAACCCATAATGGACATAGTTTCCAATAGGTAATCCCAAGATAAGGAGTCAGAAGCCTTCTCAAAATCAACCTTAAGAAGCATTAAAGGATTATTGGAAGACTTACTCCAATCAACCAATTCATTAAGAAAAAAAGGACCATCCAAGATTTGTCTGCCTTTGATAAAAGCAGATTGCTCAAGGCTAACGACACTATGAATAACCTCCACAAGACGATTAGCCAGAAGTTTGCCAATAATTTTGTATTGGCAACCTATGTGACTAATGGGTCTAAAGTCTTTTGGAGTCGTTGGGTCTCTCACTTTTGGGATAATAGTGAAAAACAAAGTGTTACACCCCTTAGGAATGATAGAATGATGGAAAAGTGATGAACAAAAGCCTCAACATCATTTGCAATGATGTCCCAATATCTCTTCAAGAACCCGAAAGTAAACCTATTAGGGCCAAGGGCATTATTAGAACCACAGTCCCAAACTGCTCTTTTTATCTCCTCACGGGAAAAAAGAGAGTGCAAATAATCAACCTGTTTTTGAGATAAGTGTTGGAATAGTGTCTAAGGCTATAACTATATTCGGTTGTGCATGGTCCTTTTGGGTTGCCTTCACCATAGCAACTTGATGGGTGATTTGTTAAGAGAGAGTAAATATTATAAGGAATAATATTTGGCTATTTGATTAATATAAGTCATAAATTAATTGGTATTAATTTGGTGACTTAAAGAGATTAATTAAATAAGAGGGTATAAACTGTCAATTGTTTGATAGTTAGACTTTAGACTGTAAATCCATTAGGATATACCTTGGACGGATTCTAAGAGCTTTAGGATAGCTCAAATTGTCCATAGGGTTATCTATGGAATGGATTTGGATAGCCTTAAGAGAAGATTATCCAATTAGGGTTTAGGGTGAAACCCTTAAGGAGTCTTCAAGTATAAATAGACCCTATGGGTGAGGGAATTCGACACACAACCTTAAGCAAGGAACCTCTGGCCGAATTCCTCCCCTCTCCTCTCTCCTAAATCATCTTGCTTGCTATTGGTGTTTGTAAGCCATTATGTGACATCCCCAAAATCTCGGCCAAAAAAGTCCGATTTCATTTATGCTTTTTAAAATAATTTTCAGAGTAAATCCTTTTAATTTTAAAAGAGATGCGGAATTTGTTCCCAAAAACAAAACATGATAAAATAGATATTTATCAAAACATTTCATAAAGAAATATGATTTCATTTCACAATCAAAAGTCGGGATGTCATGTTCCGATACAGATCATAAAGCATAAACGATAGCATTACAAGTCATTCAACAAATATATACATATACAGACTTGTAAACAAAACAACTTGATGTTCGCCCATCTTAAGCTCTTGCGCCACTTCCTGTAAAATAAATCAACTGAGTGGGTCAGGCTTGGGAGCCTGGTGAGCATATAGGGTTTTCAACCCACAATAATTATATTTAATTTCAACAATCAACAATAAACCCGATTACCCATTCCCGTTATCCTCACCTTACTTCCTAAAAATAACGTCTATTATAAGGAACCTATTTCAGGATTTTTCATCGGGATGGACATTACTGCAGAGGGGCTTCCTCAACATTAAGTGTCCTAAAGGCAACCATGTGGGGGATAGAGTACACCGGTGAACACGTCGTTCACAACACCTACAGGTAATGAGCCTGCTAGTGTTCCACAGGACAGTCTAGAATAGTCCGTGGTCGTCATCCATACTCTGCTGAATGACTAGAATAACACCAATAACACCGAGGCCTCTCATCTGTTTATTACACACCAATTATCTACCCATGTTCTACCCAACATATTAGTAGATAAAAATATACATTTTTATACATAGTTTAAAAACCTGTATAACATGCTTTAAGCAATACATATTCCACATAACAGATGAGGCATACACACATAACACGTATTTCATAGAGAATACATCAGATCTATAAGATAGAAGAGAGTGAATATACACTCACACGTATAACAACCAAATATATACACTAA